TCAGGGTTATAGGGGCAAGGGTAACCAAGGAGGAATAGACAGGAACACTTGTTTCAACTGTGGCCAGCATGGCCACTGGAGGAATGAGTGTACACACCCCAAAAAATCCCAGCAGCCCCAACAACCCCACAATTCTCAAAATACGCCCGGTAGGCAAGAACAACACCAAGCCCACTCCCAACACCACTGGCCACTCCCAACACCACAAACCCAAACTGCACTTGGGCCATTCACAGGTACCACTGACCAGCACACCAATCACATCCCATGGCCCCAATAGGGCTGCCTTGAAGGTGACACTCCAACTTTTCCACTTTTGTCCTCTACTAATGATGGTCAGCCTTTTTGCATTCTGGTCATAGAAGGTAGATCCTTGCCATTTTTGGTAGATACTGGAGCTACATGTTTCAGTCTCTGTGACACCTATTATCAGGGGACAAGGGAAACGTCTACACCTTCATTGGGTATTAATGGAGTGTCAACACCCACTTTTGTCACACCACCACTGTCTGTTTTCTGTCCTCTTAATGGTTCTTCTACTGTGCACCCTTTTCGTTTAATACCTAAATGTCCCGTTAGTTTGCTGGGTGTCACATCATGCCTTGTTCCACGGATCAGTCTGGTGATGGCTTCTGGTATCCAGTACTCTTTTTACAATTCTTGTTTAGTTTTCCTTGTTTTTTTGGTTTTCTATTCCATGTCTGGTTTTCCTTATGCTGGGTTTTCTGGGTTCATTCCAATATTCCGTCCCTGGAATTCCCAGTCTCCTGGATTTATTTTTATGTTTGTTTTATGTTGCCACACCAGTTTGTTTTCCATTTTCATTTTGTTTCAGTCTGGACCTGCAGCAGTGTTTCAAGTCTCTGCCCTTTTTTGCAGGTAAGTGCTATTGTGGTTTAGTATGGTTCTCTTAGAGAAAATTAGGCAGTGTAGGTAGGATCTGCCAGATATGGGGTACATTGGCGTTGATGGCAGGCTTATGCAATGTATGATCATATAATGTAACTAAATCCCCATGATTTTCATATGTAGTACTTAGTTATGTCTCCTCTTGTTTTGCCTATCATATCTTGTCTTGTTTTAGTTTGTATTCCCAGTCCATGTACAGTCCTGTCCTGCCCCTGTTTAGTTAATGTTTCCTTATGTATTGTGTACATGTTCTGGGTTTAGCTTCCTATCCTCTGGTTCTGGGTTCTACTAGTTCTGTCTTGTTTTCATGTTTGGTGACTATCCTAGCCTTGCCTGGTTTCTGTACTGGATACATGTCTGCTGCAGAGCCCCCCTATCTAGCTCCTGGGAGGTCTGCTTACTTCCTAGCTTCAAGTTCCTGGGATCCGCAGTAGCTAGATCAGGTATGTGGCCGCACAAATGCTGGTGCTCAACACCAGGGGGCGTGCGGTTGCCCTGCACCGGGCCCTGCAATCCACTTCCACGCTGAAGACTCCCACTTCTCATCAGGCACTCAGGTTTCCGTACTGCCACCCGTGACACTGGGAAGGGATCTACTTGGTATTCTGGGAGCTACCATTACTTGCACGCCCTCTGGTAGTATTGATGTGTCTATGTAGTTGTTCTGTGTCTATGTAATAGTGTTCTGAAACTATTGATTTGTCTGATGTTCCTTCCTCTGTGTGGGCTTCATCTAAATTAGATGTAGGATTTGTCAACTGCACCCCTTACAAAGCCAAACTAAAACCAGATGTAACTCATATCTACCTTAAACAGTACCCCCTGTCAGAAGCCAAGGTTGAGGGAGTTTGCCCCATGATCCAATCTTTTCTAGAGCAGGGAATACTAAAGCCAGTAGTTTCCCCATATAACACACCTATTAATCCAGTTCCTAAAGGTAATGGTCATCACTTAGTTCAGGACTTTAGAGCCCAGAATAGTTTAATTGTGCCCATTGCACTCATTGTCCCTGATGTGACATCCCTCATTACAGCCATTCCACATGATGCCACTTGCTTCACTGTCATTGATTTAAGTAATGCATTTTTTTTTCTATACCTATTGATCAAGAGAACAGCTACTTATGGCTTTTACTTTTGAAGGCTGTCAGTATACCTGGACACGCTTACCCCAAGGCTATGTGGATTTCCCAGCTGTTTCTTCGCTGGTACTCCAACATACTCTAAAAACATGGACATATTTTGCAATATGTTGATGATTTGTTATGCAGCCCTAGCTATGAGGCAAGCACTGTGGATACTGTCAGTTTTCTCAAACACTTAGCAACTGTGGGTCACAAGGTTGCAAAACACAAAATGCAATTGTGTAAATCAAAGGTTGATTACTTAGGTTTTGTTCTGGCTTCAGGCACCAGACAATTGAGTCCAAAACGTATTGAGGTCATTCAGAGGATTCCTAAACCCACTACCCGGAAGGGGTTGTTCACCTTCCTCGGCATGATTAATTAATGCCGCCAATGGATCCCTGAATGCTCCTGTTATGACTCAATCCTAAGGGCGGCTGTATGTTCTAACACAGTAAAGGTGTTTAAGCATGTGTGGGATAGGCATAAGGCTATCCTAACTATAAGATAGGGACTAATGAAAGTATTTAGAAAATTGGGCAGACTAGATGGGCCGAATGGTTCTTATCTGCCGTCACATTCTATGTTTCTATGTTCTGACAGCCCTGAAAATGTCTGCTGGTCACCAGACATGCTAGATGCGTATGTTGCCCTCAAAGTTGCTATTGTGCAAGCCCCGGCTTTAGGACTACCTGTGTATTGTAAACCATTTCATTTGTATGCTCGGGACAACTGTAAAACCATGGCCGCAGTCTGTGCACAAGAGCATGGAGGTGGTATGCGTCCCATAGCATTCTTTTCCAAAGTAGTTCCAGCTCCGGTACAGGGTATGCTGGCGTGTCTCAGAGCATTGGCAGCATGTGCAATGGCTGTTGAGACTGCTACTACTATCACACTAGGGCATCCTACAATACTCCATACCAGCCACCAGGTCACTCAGCTTATAAAAAATCTCAGCACACAACACATGACAGCCCGGCGCTTAAGTGGTTATGAGATTATTCTTCTTAATACCCAGAATCTGTCTATTGTCTATAGTCCTGTTAATTCTGGTCCTATGTCTGTTTTGCATGCTATTCTCACTTCTGCATCTGTGTCTATACCATCTGAGCCTCATAATTGCATTGAACAAATACATATTGCTACATCTCCCAGAGCAGACCTCTCCTCCACGGCACTCAGTGGCCTGGATGTGACCACTGTCTTTGTGGATGGCTCTTGCTCCAGACCAAATGACGGTACATACCTGATAAAATCATTGAAGCTGACACTATTTTCCAGCCGTCTGCACAAGCTGCAGAACTCATTGCTCTCACACGTGCCTTTCAACTTTTCTCAGGAAAGCAAGTGAACATTTACACAGACTCACAATATGCTCATGGGGAAGTGCATGATTTTGTGATTTGGAAACAAAGAGGCTTTGTAGGAGCCGATGGAAAAGCCATTTCACACACAAATCTCATCCAATCACTCCTAGATGCTATCCTACTCCCATCTGAAGTAGCTGTTATCCACTGCAAGGCACACACATGGGTAGTGATGAAATTTCCAGAGGTAATGCCTAGGCTGACAAAGTGGCAAAAGAAGTTGCAGCCGAGACTCTTTACTATGAAATGTTTCCTGCTTTGCTCACAACTCCCACATGCCCTACTGACAGTTTGCTTTTGCAGCTCCAAGCCTTTGCAACGCAATCTGACTTTGATTTTTGGATTAAACAAGGTTTAGAGAAATGATCTTTTCTCTAAAGAGGGGAGAATAGGCATACCTTAAGCCAGCTGCTTTATTTTCATCAGTCAGGCACATGGTCCTGGTCACAAAAGCATAGCAAGCACCATCCAATTCCTCATGAATTCATTTTATATTAGGAATCGCAGGCAGCATGTACAGTGTTTTGTAAGATCGTGTGAACCATGTATGAGAACACATCCTAATATTCCACACAAATCACAGCACAAACATTTGTCCCCTCCAGCTGCTCCTTTTTTACACACTTACAGATTGATTTTACTCATGTACCCAAAATTGGTAAGAAACAGCAATACTTATTGGTCATAGTTGATCAGTTTAGTAGATGGCCCGAGGCCTTTGTGACATCTAGGGAAGATGCTAGGACTGTAGTGAAGATTCTTGCTACTGAAATTATTCCCAGGTATGGCTGCCCTCTGCAGATTAACTCTGATAATGGCCCAGCTTTTGCCAGTAAGGTTACCCAGGAACTTGCTAAATTCTTGCAAGTTACCTGGAAGTTTCATATACCCTATCATCCACAGAGTTCCGGGGTAGTTGAAAGGATGAATAGGACCATTAAGGAGAAGCTTATGAAAGCTACTGCAGGAACATGGGTAAATTGGACAAAATATCTTCCAGCTATTTTAGCTGAGATAAGAATGACTCCCCACAAGTTGACTAAATTATCTCCATTTGAGATCCTGATGGGAAGACCTTTTCCCACACCCTGGGCCAGGGAACCGCTTGTTATAATGTCTGGGGATTTACAGCTAATACAAGAACAATATGTACAGGAATTGTTGATAAAACTGTTTCTTCGCAGTTTCCCTTACCTTCACAGGAACCTACTCATCCATACCAGCCCGGTGACAAGGTGTATATCCGTCAGCTGAACAGGACCAAGAAAGGAGGATACCCTTTCGGACCACCTGCTACTGTGATTGCTGTAACCAGAACCGCTGTCCTCACAGATTCCCACGACATCTGGATTCACGCATCCTGAGTGAAGCTGTGTCCAAAGAGGGGAACCAAGGAAGACAACACCACTCCTCACTCGGAAAACAGAAGAATTTCCCCTTAGAGAAGCATCATGGCTTTCACACCATATCGTAGATTGAAAGGATCATATGAACCTGAGACCAAGATTATGTTTTGCGCTATGCTTTCTGGAGTTGTTATGCTCCCTCTGATATTGTTCCTTGAATGCCATTATGAGTACAAGTCAATGGGAAGTTTGAAACCTGTTTGTTTCTGGAGAAAAGACTCTGACACGATGAACAATTCTTCAATACCCCCAGCCCAATTAGGCCTTAGCCCCTCATCTAGCATTCGTCACACACGCTCCCTCAAGAACCTTTCTCCACCACCTATCTATCAGCATGTAATATGCAATCACTCATTGACTGAACGCATTTGGATGAATTGGACAAATAATAACCCTTATAAGTACCAGTTACCCATATGGAATTGGTCCACAGCTAATGAAACCGATGCATTATGTTTGTTTGAAGGTTCACGGAAAATTGTTAGATGTTATAACGCAGAAATGTGCACAGTTAAGGTTGCTAATTACACTAGCATCTGTGCCGCCTTATTTAATATAAGTTCTGATGGTAAGAAAAAAACACATCAACAGGTTTGGGATAAATATAAGAAAATTAGTAAGGTTGCATATCAATGTAAACAGACAGGCCTTATTACTTTTAATAATGATTATACAACTGGTACCATTAATTGGAAACGGGTACAAATGAACAGCACTGCAATTGAGAACTGTACACTACTGTAGCGGAGATACAATATTCCCCAGGTTATCTCCGCTTAAGATCCCAGTGAGGCTCAGGAACAAGTAAATTATAAGTCTACAGGCAAGGTTTCCAGCAGGCAAAATAATCCAATAGTATCCCCACAATAGTGATGTACTGAACGGTTCGCCAGCGAACGGTTCCCGGCGAACATAGCGTGTTCGCGTCTGCCGCGGACGGCGAACGCATGCACGGTTCGATCCGCCCCCTATTCGTCATCATTGAGTAAACTTTGACCCTGTACCTCACAGTCAGCAGACACATTCCAGCCAATTAGCAGCACACCCTCCCTAGCAGACCCTCCCACCTACTGGAAGGCATCCATTTTACATTCATTCTCAAGCTGCATGCTTAGTGAGAGGAGGGAAAGTGTAGCTGCTGTTGATTAGATAGGGTTAGGCATAGCTAGGTTAGGGTTAGGGTATGCTTTTTTTTTTTTCTGTGTAATGTAATTGCAGTTAGTTGTCTGCCACTGCTGCCAGCTTCTGTGTCAGGCTCACAGTGGATACTGTGCCCATTTCCCCAGTCAGTGCCACCACTTATATCTGGTGTCACAATAGCTTGCATTTAAAAACAAAAAACTTTTTTCACTGTTATAGATTGAATAGCAGTCAGTGTCCTTAAAGCGGGTGTGTTACGCTAACAGTGGATACGGTGCCCAGTGCCACCACTCACTGGTGTCACAATAGCTTGCATTTAAAAACAAAAAACTTTTTTCACTGTTATAGATTGAATAGCAGTTAGTTGTCTGCCAGCAGGTGTGTCAGGCTCACAGTGGATACTGTGCCCAGTGCCACCACTCACTCACTGGTACCCGGACGAAATTTATTTTCACAAAAGGCAATCCCCAACCTGTACTCGATTGTGCAAAAGGAAATAATGGCATGTCTGGCACACAGTGTTGGGGCAAGGGTCCATCTGACCACTGATACCTGGTCTGCAAAGCATGGTCAGGGCAGGTATATCACCTACACTGCGCATTGGGCAAACCTGCTGACGGCTGCCAAGCATGGAATGCGTGGCTCTGCAGAGGAGTTGGTGACACCGCCACGACTTGCAGGCAGGCCTGCTGCCACCTCCTCTACTCCATCCTCTTCCATAACCTCCTAGGCTGAGTCCTCTTCTGCTGCTGCGTCTTGCTCCACATCAACGGATAGGGGACGTAACAGGGATTAAACTGATAAAAATAGTACTAAACACACCACTCCTATCTGGTGGCACATTAGATTGCACGCGCAGTGCCCCAAATTTGTTGTGATCTGTGAGTAAGGTAAATGGTTGTCCATACAAGTAAGGTTGCAGCTTTTTGAGGGCCCACACCACCGCCATGCACTCCTTTTCAATGGCAGTGTATCTACTTCCCTGGGCAAAAGTTTCCGGCTTAGATAAGCCCCGGGTTGCTCGCCACCATCTGCTCCGACTTGGCTCAGTACTGCTCCCAATCCAAACATAGAAGCATCTGTATGGACGAGAAAGTGTTTAGTTGGATCAGGAGCAGAAAGTACAGGTGATTTAATGAGCGCCGTCTTGAGCTGTTGGAAGGCCTGTTCACACTCTGGGGCCCATACTACTATCTTGGGGAGGTTTTTACATGTTCCTATATGGCACTTACTGGGCTTTAGGGTCAGTCCGGACTCCCTAATCCGGTCTAGTATGGCTCCTATGTGGGTCAGTTGTTGGGGCCAGGAGCAGCTAAAAATGGCTATATCATCCAAGTAGGCGCAGGTATACTCCTGAAACCCATCCAGTAGCCGATCTACCATCCTCTGAAAGTTAGCCGGGGCATTCTTCATCCCGAATGGCATGACCTTAAACTGATACAGGCCAAACAAGGTGACAAATGCCGACTTGTGGATGCTACCTCGGCTAATGGAATTTGCCAGTACCCCTTGCACAGATCTATTGTGGTGAGGTACTGGCCTCTGGCCATTTTGTCTAGGAGCTCGTCTATCCGGGGCATAGGATAGGCGTCTGAGGTTGTTCACATGGAGCATGCGCTTGCCTCCCGTGCCTGTGACCGCACCGATCACAAAGGTGGTGTCACAAACCTTGTATGGGCACTGCCAGGAAGTCTGCAGCTTGTCCTTGTGGACAGTGTCAATCCATATCTGCCAAGTGACCCTATGTAGGAGGAACAGTCCCTATTCTGCTCTGTGTCAGTGTGTATCAGGGATCCTTAGGACATGTGTCAATCCATATCTGCCAAGTGACCTGATGTAGGAGGAACAGTCCCTATTCTGCTCTGTGTCAGTGTGTATCAGGGATCCTTAGGACATGTGTCAATCCATATCTGCCAAGTGACCCTATGTAGGAGGAACAGTCCCTATTCTGCTCTGTGTCAGTGTGTATCAGGGGCTCTGAGGACAGGTGTCACTCCATATCTGCCAAGTAACCCTATGTAGGAGGAACAGTCCCTATTCTGCTCTGTGTCAGTGTGTATCAGGGGCTCTGAGGACAGGTGTCAATCAATATCTGCCAAGTAACCCTATGTAGGAGGAACAGTCCCTATTCTGCTCTGTGTCAGTGTGTATCATGGTCTCTGAGGACATGTGTCAATCCATATCTGCCAAGTGACCCTATGTAGGAGGAACAGTCTCTATTCCGCTCTTTGTCAGTGTGTATCAGGGGCTCTGAGGACAGGTGTCACTCCATATCTGCCAAGTAACCCTATGTAGGAGGAACAGTCTCTATTCCGCTCTTTGTCAGTGTGTATCAGGGGCTTTGAGGATGGGGAACAGTCTCTATTCTGCTCTGTGTCAGTGTGTATCATGGTCTCTGAGGACGGGGAACAGTCTCTATTCTGCTCTTGCATTTCTATTTCTTCTTAGATAACAAAAAAATTCTGAGACGATGTTGGCAGGGCTATTCACTTGTGTGATCTGTCATGAATTGTCATTTGAATGTTGTAACGGAGCTCCCTGTACTCCGACCGAGTACCCTCCGTTGATGGATGCTCCTAGCGCTTCCTGAGGACTCCAAACACTGCAGCCGACACCACAACCACCGCAGACTCCACAACCGCCGTAGCTTAACTGGAGTCTCGCCGTCCTCCTTCCACCCTGGATCAGCTTCTGTCCTCCAGGACCATGTGGGGAAGACCTCTCCTCCAGGAGAGCGTAACAGATACAGCTCTTAAAAGAGCTAAGTGATTAAAAGCTCAGGGGAGTATGCAGAACATAGCAATCCCCAGTGTGATATAGCAGTTCCCTCCAATAACGAGACAAGGCTACGTATTGAGGGTCAAGAAGATCTGATGTTTCATGGCACACACTCTGCTTTTATGAGATTCTGCCCATGCAAGGGAGACACCCACATAATTAGCAGTATAACCAATCGGAACAATATACATTCGGGGAAATTCCCATCCCTCAGATAATCACATAACATAATTAAAACAGAACAGTAAAAATACAGTTTTTATACATGTACTATAACTTCCAAACTACACATCCAATCTTCATAAAAATTACATATTTGGAATCAATCCATTAAGGGGAGCAACATATTAAAAAATGGCACAAATCAGACAAGGGGTTCAAAAGTTAGCAAAAGTGTATTTTGGGGCCTGGCTGGCAGCATGGTTTTCTGGCCCAAACTGGTTTTACAGAGGCCTCTATCCTGGACAATGGGGAAAGTAATCCAGTTATCCAGGGATAGAGGCAGACTCCATTAACCACATGTTAGCAAAAGACACAAAAAGACTCAAAAATACATAACTCCTATTGAACTGAACAGAACCCCCACATTCAACCTATCCCCAGATGGCTTGGATCTGAGCGCTCAATATATCCAAACAGCGCTCAGATCCCACAAATACAGTCAAATCACTAGGTCCATAGTCATGGGGCAGAAGGCTGGCAATTAGGCTTCTCCATAACACAGGGAAGCAGGGCAATTTGTCAAATAAAATAACAGTTACAAATGGCAGTTTGTAACAAATGTTAATTTGAACTGTGGGGCACAAGAACTTGAATCTGACAAAATGGCTGGCATATACACGTCCACTGATAGGAGACGTGGAAGGTATTAAACTGATCAGAACAATACTAAACACACCACTCCTATCTGGTGGCACATTAGCTTGACCGCGCAGTGCCCCAAATTTGAAGTAAGAGGACCGACCAAGCATCTTCTTCCATCTCCCTGTTACAGAAATCACTGCCATAACCATACAAATTGTACAGAATGTCCAGGATAGTTTTCCAGGGACAAATGTTGTCGCCTGTTGAACGAGGTGACCTTGCTCGGGTCCCAGGTGTGCGGTTCCTAAAATGGCTGCCATATACACGTCTACTGATAGGAGACGCAAAAGGTATTAAACTGATCAGAACAATACTAAACACACCACTCCTATCTGGTGGCACATTAGATTGCCCACTTGTATGCTTTGTTCTGTGGACTCACGTCATCCTTAATGAGGCGTTCTCTCATTTGGTCAGTTTTAGACTCGGGATAGTAACATGTAGAGTAATCAGTCGCCAGCCATGAAAGTAGAATAATGCCTGGAGCATCATCTTCATCTATAAATTTGACGATTGCAAATGTATTTGCTTCTGCCATATCCAACTTTCACAGAAAAGTAACTCACTCTTATGAAAAAAAATAAGATAAAGTATACACAAAATAAATGATGAAAGTAA